CAGCATCATGGGAAGTTCCTGCTTAAAAAGAAAAGGAAAGTAACAGTATACATATACAGGAGACCAGGTAGCTGTCTTAAAAAACAAACAAGCCCTGACATCAGCAAGACGGCAAAATGGAACTTGGCAATATCTGACAATTAGACCAACTTTCTACACCTGTACACAAAAACACCTCTGTAAAAAGCTAATAAGAAAGTCAGAGAAGACTACCGAACCTGTTTGAGGGTGGGGGTCTATCCGGCAGGACAGGAAGAGCAATTCTGTATCTCTCGTGTTGCTCTTCCTACAGTCTCACAGTGCAGTGAGATGTCCTCTGCCTGAACTCTGCTTCAGACCCCAATGTGGAGTCCAATCCAGGAAGGGCCAGCATAAAGCAAGACACCACAGTGCCTAACTACACCGGTACCCATGGATGCTCAAGGGTGCATTGTATACGGAGAGATCTAGGATCAGCTCTGCCTGGCATACTCTGGATACGGGCCTACCCCATCACCATTCTAGTCCCCAAAGACTTAGGCCCTAGGTATAATGCAGGGCCAAAACACCCCTGGCATCCTTGAACTCTGTACTGTCCCAAAAACAAACTGCATCCCATGGCCCAAGGCCCACCATCACACTATCCTTCCCCAAGTCCTATTCATTAGGCTAGCACCTGCTGTGGGTTAGCATCCACAGGCAGAGGATGTCTCTCATTCCAGGCTAAATAGGTAGACTAGGTAGACTCCAACGCTGGTCTGGCTGCCACAAGTCCATGCTACAAGGACTATGGGCGGTTTTGATTTTTAGGGGTCTTGTTTTGGGCTCTGTTTGTTTGTTTGGTTTTGGTTTTTTGTTGTTGTTGTTGTTGTTTCAGACTAGCACTTGAAACAACAGACCACAAGCAAAACCCTGCAGATTTAGCCTGCAAGTCTATACCTACAAACCAATCCTACAAAGAATCCTTTAAACTCAGGCTCTAGTGACCCTAAGTCAATCATACCTAGGATCCAAGTCTATCCCAAAAGACCCTGATACCAGTTAGCATCCAAAAATTAAGGTTCTATAAGTATTACTATAAATCCAGGTTTTAGACATGACCCTCTGGACTTAGGAATCAGGTCTAACTCAGTGCTCTAACAGTGGGAAGACTCCTATGGACTTTGGTTCCAGGTCTATTCCAAAGTGCAACAAGTCCTTCCCAGCATATGGTAGGCTCCAACGGGCCCGTGCATCAGATCTATCTCAGCACATAAGCCCTTACACACTCAGGAGCAAGACTACCACAAAGCTATGTCAGCCCCTGCAGACACAGACTTCTAGCTGTTCTTCATTAAAAAACAAGCTTTATTTCTGTTAAGACACCAGACGTACACACCAGCTCATCTACTGGAAGCAGGCCAGACTATCAGAGGACTGAGGACTCCAATGGCACACACTCATGGATCACATCGGCTGTCCTGCCCAAGATCTCCAGATGGGCTGGCTGGTGGTGGGCCTTCCCAGACAGTCTTCATAGACTGGGATAATTTCCTTCTCCTTCAAGTACACAGACAGTAAGATCACGGCATAAGAATCAAGAACAATCCATGAAATACTACCCAACCAAAGCAACAAAATAAAGCACCACTGACGATAACAGGGGAAATGGAGTGCCCTAAAGCTGCCTGAGATTCAAACTAGCTGCTTTAAGAAAACGCAAGAAGATTTAAAAATAGAAATAATTCAAAAAAATTAGTACAATAAAAACTCAAAATCGGAAATGTAAGAAGTGGATGTTGTTTATTTAACCAAACAAATTCTAGAGCTGAAAAATATAATAAAAAATTTAATGCACAAGAGCAGAAATAATCTAAAGAACCTATGAAACTAATCCATAAGAGGAAACCATGAGGAGTCCTGATGAAAGCTTGCAAAACTTATGACCTAAAAAAATAACCAGTAGGGCTGGAGAGATGGCTCAGTTGTTAAGAGCATTGCGTGCTCTACCAAAGGTCCTGAGTTCAATTCCCAGCAACCACATGGTGGCTCACAACCATCTGTAATGAGGTCTGGTGCCCTCTTCTGGCCTTCAGGCATACACGCAGAAAGAATATTGTATACATAATAAATAAATAAATAAATAAATATTTAAAAAAAAATAACCAGTAGAAAGACAAGCAGCTCATTTAAATAACCAACAGCGGATTGGAGAGAAGGCTCAGCAGCTGAAAGCACTTGCTGTTTTTCCCAAAGGACCTGAGTTTGGATCCAGCACCCAAGTTCAGTGGCTCACAATCCCCTCTAACTCCAATTCCAGGGGACCTTCTAGCCTCTTCTAGCCTCCAAAAGCTCCCAGAACATGAGTGCATACACTAACACAAATATACACACATACACATATAAAAGAATTCACATTAAAAGCATATAAATTTAAAAACTTAATATGTAAGAGCAAAAATCCTTCCCAAATCTGGGGAAAGACAAAAATCTAGAACCACAAAGGTCAAATATCTCTAAGCAGATTCAGTCCAAACAAGGTGACACTAAGCTCTGGCTGGGAAGGGCTTTTCAGTGATATAGCTCCTTCTGAACGCCATGCTCTGGATGTAATCCCCACACTCACTGGGGAACTAAACTGGACTTGGATGGAATGGCTTCCTCAAAGCATTCTCACTGTGCTACTGTGTGAGTTAGTTTTAGGCCAGCTTGACACAAGCTACAGTCTTCTGAGAGGAGGGACCTCAACTGAGAAAATGCCTCCATAAAGCAGGGCTGTAGGCAAGCCTATAGGACATTTTCCTAATTAGCAATTGATGGGGGAAGGCCCAGGCCATAGCAGGTGGTGCTGTCCCTGGGCTGGTGGTCCTGGGTTCTATAAGAAAGCAGGCAGACTATCCGGACTAGCTGAACATAGTGCACAATGAGGAATACTGAGAACTCAAGAACAATTGCAGTGGGTTTTTGATCCTACTGCACGTACTGGCTTTGTGGGAGCCTAGGCAGTTTGGATGCTCACCTTACTAGACCTGGATAGAGGTGGGCAGTCCTTGGGCTTCCCACAGGTCAGGGAACCCTGATTGCTCTTCGAGCAGATGAGGGAGGGGGACTTGATCGGGGGGAGGGGGGGGGAAATGGGAAGCGGTTGTGGGGACGAGGCAGAAATCCTTAATAAATAAATAAATTTAAAAAAAAAAAAAAGAAAGCAGGCAGAGCAAGTCATGGGAACAAGCCAGTAAGCAGCTCCCTTCCACGGTCTCTGCATCGGCTCCTGAGCTGCATGAGTTCCTTCCCTCACTGCTTTTAATGATGAACTGTTATATACAACTGTGAACAAAATGAGCCCTTTACTCCCCTAAGTTGCTCTGGTTATGGTGTTTCATCACAATAACTAACCTCTAACTAAGTGCCCTGTCTGGCAGGAACGGACATTTGTTTCTCTTGTGTTCCCCAAGAAAACATATGATTCTATGTAACAAGGCATACATTTGTTGAAGCAGCCAAATAAAATTTTGCAAATACAAGTTGTTATTAATTACAATAAACAGCCATTACAAATATAAAATCTTTTATATAAAATTTGTAATCACAAATCTTTATGCAAATGATGAAAACTAAGATCAACAAATACCACTGGGAAAGTTACCTAAGCACAAAATTAGAAAAGAAAGAAGGTGCTAAGGACCTAATGTGATCAGAGGGCAATGAACAACTGACAGCAGCAAGTTCTGGCCTATCAGTCATCACTGTGAATACAGAGACTAAATCCTTCAGCCAAACACTGATCAGCTCATGGAGTAGTCAGGCAACTGAGTGCATGCTGCTTACATTGTTACTAACCTCATCCCTAGGGACATACACAGACTCAAAGTAAAGGGACAGAAAAAGACATTCCATGAAAGTAGACTCCCAAGAGAAAAATGTTCCACAATTTAAAGGAGCAGAGGCTACATAGACATATACATTTGTTAAACCACCAAATAATCTACTTAAGATTTGCATAAATTGTATGTTTCCCTTAAAAATGAATATTAATCAAATACTGATAACTCTTACTAATATATCATGCTCACATATTTGAAATAAATAAAGATGTTATAGTAAACATGGAATTCACCTCTAGCTGGTCTCTATCCTTTGATAACTAATTCAGTGGGAGCAGGTTAGGGACCTGGTTAAGGGACCACTAGAGGCAGGTGAGTTCCCTATTAGATAATGTGTATTTCTTCCCTAGTGCAACCCCTAGGAGCTGATGTTTGTCTGAATCTGCCCACAATTCCTACTACCTTTTCTTCCCCGCTGCCTTTTTCTTTCAGACACTGGCTAGAGCCTAAGTATTCACACACACACACACACACACACACACACACACACCGTACTCTGAAGCCCCTCCCTGCCACACAACCCTGCTACACTGTGGCTTAGCAACATGTCAGCTTATCTCAAGCAGCATGGCTTTTTCCCCCTTCTCTTCTCCATTTTCCTCCTCTGGCAACTGTTAAATTTAAACTGTTTGCCTGCCCTTGAATTTTTCTTTTAAACTATAATAAATTGTCCATGTGCTTCCATGAGTTCATTCTTAATCTTTTTCCTTTTATTAATGAGATTAAGAACTGCAAAAGGAGGCCCTGATTTCCCAAGTCTCATAAGGTTGCACCACCAGGACTTGTCAAGATGTCTGGTAACACTTGCTTTCTGCCTTTTAATTCTTTAGTCAGCAGAGAAAGTGAACATGTTCCTGTATCCTAGGTGGCATCAGGAACCTGTAACTTATTTTGATGAATTAAAAAATAATTTTAATAAAGCAAATATAGTGAAATATTAACATATTCCAAAGGTGAAGGGATTACTGTACAATTCTTTCAGCTTTTCTTATGCCTGAAAATTCCATAATTAAAGCATTAGAAAAAAAGATGAGAATTCAAAAAACACAAATATTATATGCATAGTTTTCAATATAATTTTCTTGTTTTATGACTATCATATATAGAATGAGTTAAAGAAACACACATTAAAAAAAACAACAAAACTAAACAACATACCCGAATTTCTTGAAGGTTGTGAAAATGATTTCCTACTCTGACTGAGATTTTGCTTGGAGTGTAGCTTTCATCAGATTTATAGTCTGCATAAATACACAATGTCTTCACTGTTGTTTTTCTTCTAAAAGCAGTAAAATAAAAGTACACGGTTTATCACATCAAAAGGAAACAGTAAAATAAAAGCATGCCCTCTTCTGAGGTTAAATCAACAATCTCCTGTGGTTTCCCTTCAGCTTGCAGGTGGAAACATGTAAAAACGTAAGTACATATGTAGTATTTTACATATTCAAACACACCACATCGAGAACATGGTCAAGAACTAATGTATGTAAAGAAGCAGTTATGCCAAAGTAGGTGCTTTAGCATGCAAATGAGTATTAATGACGCCCATCCTTTTTATTTAGACATTATACAAGGAAAGGGTTAAAGCAAGCCTGGATTTCTTTTACTAATTAATTAATTAATTAATTCTTTATACTGATATTAAAAACACTTAGCTAAGTAAAAAAAATCAGGCTCAACAAATAAATACTTTAAAAAATAAAAAGCGCCTGGTGGTGGTGGCGCACGCCTTTAATCCCAGCACTCAGGAGGCAGAGGTGGCAGATCTTTGAGTTCAAGGCCATCCTGGTCTAGAAGAGAACAGGCTCCAAAGCCACAGAGAAACCCTGTCTCGAAAAAAATAAAATAAAATAAAAAGCATACCCTGCCACTTAAATGTACAAAATAAAATTCTATTCCATTTCAAAATATACATACATACCATTTGGGAATAAGCAAAAACTACATTATAGAAAATTAACCTCAGGGAATGAAAAAGACTAAGAAATATGAAAAATATTCAATTTCTAAAAACCAAAGAAAGAAATTTAAACAAGGAGATAATTGTTTACCATATATTAGTAAGTATCCAAATGAATGATAATATCCAAATTTCCTTACAAAAAGAATATTGAGCCAATAAATAACATTTGTGGGTCACTAATCCAATTTCTAAGTGAACTAAAAATTCATTGCTTTCCGATTATTTTAGATTTGTGTGCTGATAAAGGACAGAAAGCTAAAGAGGGGCCACGGGTGTGTGGAGCTGGAAGGATGTCTAAGGTGAGGATGGTGTGGAGGTGTGAATAAGAATGGCCGCATAGGCTCATAGATTTGAAGGCTTAGTCATCAAGAAGCGGCACTACTTAAGAAGGGTTAGTAAGCACGGCCTTGTTGGAGTAGGTGAAGCTTTGCTGGAGGAAGAAAGTCACTGGGGTGGGCTTTTCAGGCCCAAGGACTCTCTCTTCCAGTTGCCTATAAAACCAGATGTGGAAACTCTCAGCTACTTCTCCAGCACCATGTCTGCCTGCAGACCACAATACTTCCCACTATGATGAGAATGAACTAAACCTCTGAAAGTATAAGCAAACTCCAATTAAATGTTTTCTTTTGTAACAGCTGTCTTGGTCATAGTGCCTCTTACAGCAATATAACACTGATTAAGACAGGGGATAACAGATCATATATTACTGGAAAAAAAGTAGGCAGGAGGAATATAAGGGATAGAAAGGTTTAAGTAGGGATGGGGTTTAAGAGGATAGGAGGACTAACCAAAACAAAGAATTATTTAAAAGGCCACATGAAAATCTACTATTTCATAAACTAAATATATAATGAAAAGTGAAAGAGTTGAAAGGGAGATAACCTAAACAAGTAACCAATGCTCCCAGAAGCCATGATTCCCAGGCTCTGGAGTGGAATACCACCACAGCAGCTGTTAGCTGGGGAAGTCAACGAGTCCCTGAAAACAATACAAGCTACTGCTATCATTCTGTGGCCCACCAGAACTAGACAGGACCCTGCTGTTGAAGGCACAACACGTTTTGGTTGGCAGATATAGAAAAATCAAGCTGGAACAGAGCTGGACGCTTCCTCTCTTCCATAGAGGTAGAAAGTGCGCTGCAGGCTGCTGGGAGAGAAGTCATTAAACCGTTTATTAAATACATTTGACTTACAATGTTTTCGATTTTTAATGGGCTTACTTGAACATAATCTCAACAACAATTGAAAAGCACCTATATTTTAAAATAATCATGCAGATGTATTGCTGCAATAAGGGAAAGGGGAGATTATAAAACAGTATTACAAAAGAATCATATTTGGGAATAATTGTTTAAATTCATTAATCTATATTTGTGCAAAGAAAAGACCACAGATAAAACTGCAAATTTTGCAAATTTGTCTATTTTGGGTGGGTAAAAACTACTGAAGATTTTAATTTTCTTCCTTACAACTTCTGTATTTTCTGAATAATTTTTCAGGATGAACATATGTCATTTGGTCATCAGGGAGAAAAATGGGTAATTCCTAACACTGACCCTCCAAAAACATTTATAAATCTACTAAAAAGGGCTTTACAAGTTTAGTGTAAAGTAGCACTGCTGGGTAACACTGAGACCCTTGAGCAAAAGTAACCTGTGTCAAAAGTCAGCCTATGAAACAGCAGCATCTAGAGCTCTTCTCTGGGAAACCAAATTTGCATAGCTTAACTATTCATTAGAAAAAAGGGCAAAGATAAAGATTTTTCTTAAGAAAATGCATAAATCCTAGTTACTCTGAAAGTGTTGACAGGAGATATTATGATGTTTCTTAAGAGACCAGAAGTACCAAACTGACATCTTAGCAAGGACAGACACATCAAAGGGAAGCAAAGGATGCAGAGAAATTTTGAAAGGCTATTTGATGAGCCATAAGCAGGAAGTAAAGGTCTCCCTAAGAGATTAAAAAAGAAATTAAAAAGAAAAAACAAAAGTAGAGGTAAAGGATCAAACTTTTTACATAAAAGTATTACTTCTAAGTTACAAAATTTGGGATAACTTCAACACCAAAACCTACATGAAAACCAGGGTGATTTTAGAAAGGCAAAGAATGGTAATATTAATGAACACTTAAAACAACAGCAACACATAGCAAGATAACACTATGTGGCTGACCTAGAACTAATGCTTCATTTGTATTCTCTCAATTTACTGCTTCTCTGATTAAAGAAATAACACTATGTAGATGATCGCAATAAAGTAGTCCCGCTTTGTGGAAGGAGTTCCCTCAGCAATACTAGGGTAAATGACATAAGTAAAAAACATTCATAAGGCGGAGCAGTGGTGTCGCTTGCCTTTAATCCCAATGCTCTGGAGGCAGAGGCAGGTGGATCTCTGAGTTCGAGGCCAGCCTAGTCTACAAAGACAACCGTGCTATCTCTGGAGTAACAGCACCCTCAGGAAGATGGCATGCCAGTCCTAGTGTTGGAGAGAGGTGGGGTGAGCAGCCCTTCATTCTACTCACTGTCGCGGCACTGAACACCTGCTGTGCCACGTCCAGACATGTGCTCTCTTCCTTCCTCCAATCACTTCTGATTTAATTTTAATTAACTGTATGTAGTTTGCTCAACACCCATTGACTGTTATCAGTTTATAGTGATGAACTGATATTTATAGTTACTTACATTTGAGCTAAATCATACTTCTTTTCTTGAAGCTTATTAATCTCCAAAAATGACAGCTACACATATTTTTCTTGGTTTTTCGAGACACGGTTTCCCAGAAGCTTTGGTGCCTGCCCTGGAACTAGCTCTTGTAGACCAGGCTGGCCTCAAACTCACAGAGATCCGCCTGCCTCTGCCTCCGGAGTGCTGGGATTAAAGGCGTGCGCCCTAGCACCTGGTGAGGACAGGTGTAATTTATGCTAAACACACAGTTGTATTACATCTGCAGAAGAAACTGCTACTGTGGCTGGAGCTAAAACTACTACTCTACAAGGCACAGCAAAGTCTTTTTTAAACTACTAAATTCTGCCTCATACTGATTCAAAAAGCAGTAATACTACAGAAAAACCATGTTGTTTCTGAAATAACAACACATACAGGAAGATAAAATGTACAGACTACATCACAGGGAAGATGCTGGACACTCAGATCATCACTCTAACTATGGTGCAATGAGTGAACACCTACTGCACACCAAGTACCTTGTTAATCTCCTAGGAAACACCGGTAGAAGGGAAAGAGAGAAATGCTTCCCTGTTTCTGACTGACATAAATATCATTCCTGACTTCCCTCTTTCCTCCGACCTATTAAAACACTTTCTCCTAAGCAATAGCTTTGGGCAAGAAGCATTTCCTTTGTTCCTTCAGTCCATACAATTAAAACCAAGCCTATCTGGTTAGCTACAAATGGATGAGTAAGTCTTTAATTCCAGGGTTCGATGTTACTGAATACACATAACTGAAGGTGTGGTGCAGTTATTGTGGTAATGAGCTTCTAGCAAGTGATACTTTGTTCTGCACCTGCTGACTCCTAAATAATCTCTCATCTGGTTAAGAATCCAAAACTTGCCATGAAGTTTAGTCCCAGCACTCAGGAGGCAGAGGCAGGCAGATCTCTGAGTTTGAAGCCAGCCTGGTCTACAGTTAGGACTGCATAAAGAAAATGTCTTGAAAAACAGAAAAACAAACAAAACAAAACCTAGCAGTATCACCACACTAATGACAAAAGAACTATGAATGGGGGCAGCAGAAGAAATCTGCATGGAACCCATTTGAGCAGGCAGGTAGGAGATACAAGTCCACAAAGACATAGGTAAAGGATAACTGTTGGGAGAGCAATGGCAGGAGAACAGCAAGTCAAATGCTCTTAGGCAATGAGAGCCAGGCAAGGTTAAAATTCTCAAAAACCGAAAGAAAAGTTCTCTTCAAATATTCAGATTTATGAGACCCTAGAGAGACCAAACCTTGTTAACGTAATTGTAAAATCGTAATGCTAATTTTGCCCAAAAGAAACACCATTGAAGAATGATTGAGAACTTGTATGGCGAGAGCAGGAATGTTAGAGGTATTCTCTGGTTAATGCTAATGTGTGCTCCACCTTTCTGAGTAGCCTCGTATAGCACACTGTATCCAGAAGGATTCTGAAAAAGCCTTAGTGAAGCAGCATAAATGAGAACCCAGGTGCCTTAAGTCAGAGAACAAAGAGGTTAGAGGTTCACAAACAAGTAAAATAACAATCTTTACAGTCCGGGAAGAAACAACCATTTTTATAGAAGTGTTACGTATACTAATATATAATAGAGTATTCCTGCTAAGTT